CTCTGTCTTGGTGGGAAACGGCCGATGTATTAATAAAATAATAAAATAATTTATACAGTAGGAGTTTAATGCGTCCAGTATTTTGTTCACCTGTTATGACAGACAAGACTTACGGAGGAAGGATTCTTCTCCACTTCCCTGTGCACACTCATTATTTTTTTAGTCCCAAAATAGTTGTCTTATTTTATATCTTCTACATTGTTTAGTTGCTCTAGTATTTTGAAGTTTATTGTAAAAGATACCTGGTGGTGTTACTTGACTGGTGTGGGTCGCATCCTGGGTGTTACTTGACTGGTGTGGGTCGCATCCTGGGTGGTACTTGACTGGTGTGGGTCACATCCTGGGTGTTACTTGACTGGTGTGGGTCGCATCCTGGTTGTTACTCGACTGGTGTGGGTCACATCCTGGGTGTTACTTGACTGGTGTGGGTCGCATCCTGGTTGTTACTCGACTGGTGTGGGTCACATCCTGGGTGTTACTTGACTGGTGTGGGTCGCATCCTGGGTGTTACTTGACTGGTGTGGGTCACATCCTGGGTGTTACTTGACTGGTGTGGGTCACATCCTGGGTGTTACTTGACTGGTGTGGGTCGCATCCTGGGTGTTACTTGACTGGTGTGGGTCGCATCCTGGGACACTGACCTAATCTGCGGGAAATGCTAGCATAACAAGTGCTTTCTATATAGCAGTATGTCATTGATGTCAGCTATGGTCTGTATACCTTGTACATGTAATAAACAAAAATATTATTATTATTATTATTATTATTATTATTATTATTATTATTATTATTATTATTATTATTATTATTATTATACAGAACATATAGTTTCTGTTGCGTACACTGTGTTCACAGACAACTACCATTTAGATCCTATTTTCACAAAATATTCACTTTTGTACTTCCATAAGAATGTGTACCATTTTATATTTGCCATATAAATATTCTCTATGGTATCACCATGACTATAAGTAAGGTAGAGTAGCAGGTACCTGGAGTTTACCTGGAGAGAGTTCCGGGGGTCAACGCCCCCGCGGCCCGGTCTGTGACCAGGCCTCATGGTGAATCAGGGCCTGATCAAGCAGGCTGTTACTGTTGGCTGCACGCAATCCAACGTATGAGCCACAGGAGGAAGGAAGATTATTAAAAAAATGAACTGACTTGAGTGGTAGTATTCTTGTGATTGCTGGCAACTTGTTTCCTGATAGGCCTAATTCTTCCCTATTGTTTAACACCTCAACATTTACTTCGGTATACCTTATCTATACACTATGGTATCCCTAGGATATCTACTATACACTCCATTTTAAGAGACACTTTCTCTTTTTCCACAGTAGTTGACATATTTACTTGTACACTGAACTGATCAGGCCTGTTTCTCCTCGTGACTCTATGGCACCACTTCCTGTGAATTTTTTCCTTCTGTCACAGGGATTACATTTATTTACTAGATTAAATCCCAGCACTGGAGAGATGTGCTTTATAATTTCATTGACACAGTTCTATGCTTCTAACATGAAAAAAATCTTATGATAATCCATGGGAACTACTGAGCCATGCGGGAGGGTGTCCACGGAGGGTGACAACACTAGAACTACAGAGCCATGCGGGCAAGGGCCAGATTAAGAAGTCTCCGGGCCCTAGGCTATTCAGATTGGCAGGGCCCCTTTGAGTTACGGGTAAGCGAAGCAACCCCTTCCAGCTTGGGGGGGACAGGGTCGGTGTGAGCCTGTTTAAGGTCTAATTAAATACATTCTGGCTATTTAGATTAAATTTAATAGGGAAAGTACATCAAGACAACCAAAACCATTTACCAACAGCCATTATAACTGTCTTGTTAAATCATGCATTTTAAAGAGAATAAACTCAAGACAGCATAGTATTACTAGATTAGGCTATTAAAGTAGTGACATCATGTACCTATTATATTCAGCATAACCACTACAGCACTGTTTATTATTCCCTTTATAAATCACTGGCCATTATTGTTATCATTGCATCATGCATAAGACAATCAAATCATATAAACTCAAGAAAGTAAAGAATTGTTTATATTCACAGGCACTTCTTAAATAAACTTTTTCTGGATTTCATATTGGCAAAATCATCAATTATATTCTGAAAATCAATATTTCTTGTTAGATCAGACTCAATGGTCAACAAGGTTTAGGTTACACAATTTGTCTTGGCTAAATTGTTGAAGGGAGCTGGTTTTTTCACTCTTTTCAAAACAGAAAATGAACGTTCCCTTCACAGTTAGTAGCTGGAAGTGTTAGGTAAAGGCGATACACTAGTCAACATTGGGGAAAGGGTTTTTCTGAGATACCTGCATTTTTTAAAATGTTTCAAAGCAGCTGAGGGCGCACATTTTTCAGGTGGAGCTTAATCTGTTTTCCTTTACCCAGAAAAAGAACTATTTCTTCAAAAAAATGTGTCCTGAACATCTGCTGAAAGGTGTTGTTGCAACTTTAATGCAGCTTCTCTCAATTCTGCATCTGGCATAGTAGAAATTTTTTTGAACAGAAATCCAAACTTGTCATTGAGATTCTGGTAGATTTTTTTTTCTTTTCACCAATTCTGAAAATCAGTGAATCCAGAATGACGAAGTATGTAGCTGTCTTACATTTCTACCTTGGTAGCAACACAATTTCATTGTCTGGCTCTTCAAAATTGCGTTTCCTCTTCCTTGACCGCTGATGATCAGCCCGGTAACTGTAGTCTTTCACCAGCAGTTTGTTTAGCTTTCTCTTCAAACATTTCAAAAGCTTCATCATTGCGAAGTGAGCTTACAAATTCCACTAAGCCTGCATAGAGGTTAGCACAAGTAGCCATTTCAATTTCAATTTTCTGAAACCCTATCAGGTACCTCCCTTAACATTTAGAGGCGAAAACATTTATCCATACACATCAATGTCTATCAACAACACTTCAGTTAATTTGTCACAGTACAAGTCTAGATAACGTGTAATTACTACAGAAAATTGGAGAGGAATCTCCCATATTCACCCATTAGCAGAAAAACACAGCTGTTCTGATGTAAACAAAGGCGTGTTAAGTGTTGCCTTCTATGGTTAGGTTTATTTATTTTTATTTTATTTTATTTCATTATTTATTTTTGTTTTGATTAATTTTTAAAAATCAATTTTACTCTCCAAACACTTGAACTTTTTAGGTAGGGACCCCTTTGCACTTGCACCATGTGCGCAGTCTTGGATGAGCCCCTGAACCCCTTGGACCGCGGGGCCCCCAAATGCGCGGGGCCCTAGGCAAATGCCTAGTTTGCCTATGCGGTAATCCGGCCTTGCATGCGGGAGAGTGAACACTGAGGGTGAAAACACAAGAACTACAGAGCTACACGGGAGGGTGTGCTGGAGTGTGACAACACCAGAACTACAGAGCCACACGGGAGGGTGAACACAGAGGGTGGCAACACCAGAACTACAGAGCCACACGGGAGGGTGAACACAGAGGGTGGCAACACCAGAACTACAGAGCCACACGGGAGGGTGTCCACGGAGGGTGACAACAACAGAACTACCGAGCCACACGGGAGGGTGTCCATGGAGGGTGACAACACCAGAACTACTGAGTCACATGGGAGGGTGTCCACGGAGGGTGACAACACCAGAACTACCGAGCCACACGGGAGGGTGTCCACGGAGGGTGACAACAACAGAACTACCGAGCCACACGGGAGGGTGTCCACGGAGGGTGACAACAACAGAATCCGAGCCACACGGGGGTGTCCCCTGGAGGGTGACAACAAAAGAACTACCGAGCCACACGGGGGTGTCCACGGAGGGGGACAACAACAAACTACCGGCCCCACGGGAGGGGGTCCATGGAGGGTGACAACACCAGAACCCCACCACACGGAGGGTGTCCACGGGGGGTGACAACAACAGAACTACTGAGTCACACGGGAGGGTGTCCACGGAGGGTGACAACAACAGAACTACGATCCAGGGGAGGGTGTCCACGGAGGGTGAAAACAACAAACACGAGCCACAGGGGAGGGTGTCCAGGGAGGGTGACAACAACAAAACACTGAGTCACACGGAGGGTGTCCACGAGGGTGACAACAACAGAACTACCGAGCCACACGGGAGGGTGTCCACGGAGGGTGACAACAACAGAACTACTGAGCCACACGGGAGGGTGTCCACGGAGGGTGACAACAACAGAACTACTGAGTCACACGGGAGGGTGTCCACGGAGGGTGACAACAACAGAACTGAGCCACACGGGAGGGTGTCCATGGAGGGTGACAACAACAGAACTACTGAGCCACACGGGAGGGTGTCCACGGAGGGTGACAACAACAGAACTACCGAGCCACACGGGAGGGTGTCCACGGAGGGTGACAACAACAAACCACTTACAGGGTTAGAAATTTTTCAGTTTTTTACAATTTTTCTTGTTATTCCGTATAATTCCTTTTTTACATTTATATATTATTATTGTTCCTTATGTATGATTCTATTTATAACTGTTTATTATTTTATCTCACATTCAAAATCTTAATATTTTTCAAAGTCTTTGAATAATTCAACTCTCATTTAAAATTCATATTAATTTTGTATTTCAATTAACAGTTAAGTATTATATCCAAATATCTTGTTATTTAACCTAGTACTGTAACTGTTAAAATGTTGACTGTTATTTGTCTATTTTTTTTTTCTCATATCTTACTTACCTGGAGTTTACCTGGAGAGAGTTCCAGGGGTCAACGCCCCCGTGGCCCGGTCTGTGACCAGGCCTCCTTATATTTAACATTCTGCTTGATATTTGTTATATTTTATATATTTCTTTGAATTGTTTCCTCATGTCTTATATACACTTTATTCATATTCAGTCTCATTCTTTTATTCACTTTCATTAAATCTGTTACATTTCTAATTAAAATTTGTATGAAGAAATTTTTTTTTTCTATTTTCATATGTTTATGTAATGCTATTTTTTTATTTTTATATTTAATTATATAATACTGTTTCTTTCAGGCAGAAGAGCAGTTAGTGCAATAGATCAGCTATGATCAGCTGTTACTGATGAAGGACCAGCTAGGATATATGGTATATAATAGAAAGGATTAGACAACGTATTTATTTATTTATTTATGTATTTTTTATTTGGACATGATACGTAGTTCTACAAAGAAATTTAGTGATTGGGTGTACATGCCAAACGCCCCTTGTATGCAGAGCATTATGGGTAGTATTGTGACCCCTGAATGGTTTACAATGTATATAATGTATATTGCCTGTTCATATAATTTTATATTGCTGATATTTGCTATGTTAACTAAATTGTAAATATATTGCTTTACATTATTATTTGACTTAGTTATATTATTAAGTAAGATGTAAGATGTACACCTTATCCAGTGCTCATTGCTCGAGAGTGTTAAGTAGCTGATGGCCTTGTCTAACTACCGCTCCACTTGTTTCGCTGCCGGCTTCTCTGTAGTTGCTGGGAGGAAGCAGTCCATGGAGAGTCATGTGATCAGGGAGGGGTGATCACACCTCACCTGGGTGAGAGACTGCCTGGCCTTCGCTAGCTCTCTTTTTTTGGTTGACAATGATTCCAAAAAGACGTCCCTCTCCAGCTCTCCCTTGCTGGCCCTTGTTGGAACATCATCTCGTCGCTCTCTCTTGTTAGTTCTGTGTAACTCTGTTCACAGAGCATTGCCTAAACTTGGTGATTTTCGACATTGTACTGAGGTTGTGTGTCACATAGACACTCTGAGAGACTCAGGTCCTGAGCTGTAGCTTCTGACCTAATTTGTACTGGTATCTGTGTACTGTCGCAGTTGGGGATTTTCTTATGCTGAACTTAGATTCAGTAGTATGGGAGTTTTGTGACATTTATGGAGGATCTGCAGATGGTCCCTAGTTAGTGTCGTTATGTTATCTCCTTTTTCGTGATTCTGTGTTGCTGCTGCTTGTTATATTGCTGTTCAGCGAATCGGTCGTTTTATTGTTCAAGCAAGCTGTTCTGATTGCCAGGTTGATCAAGAAGTTAGTTTATGTGAGGACTTTTAGTCAGTCACTGGTTAAGTCTATTCGAGTCTTACTTGTATATATATGTATTATGTTATTAAATGCTAACAATGTACCAGACGGTACTTAAAAGCCATAAAGATGTGATATGTGTCTTCAGCACAATACTACTGTACACGAGAGAAGTGTAGGAACTTGTATCCTATATTATATTCAGTTGATTACTTTAATTTACTTTGATCTTATGCGCCTAGACAATTTTATTATTATTAACAAACTTATTAAATTTTAATCTCTTTAGTTTTTTTTATATATTTAAACTCAGGTACAAAATAGATATGGGTGTATAAAATATGTCAACGAGATACCAGGCACTAACAAGATTATTATTATATAATAAATATTAAAATCAAAATACTGGAAAATATAAAGACTATACACAAAAACAATGTGACAAAAACGAGCACACAAAAATTACACACATACACAAGCAATCACATATTATACAACATATTACTACATCTGGCATATAACTAGGCATGGCTTCCACCTGCCAACACACAACGTATCCAAGACTTAATCTAAGAACTCAGGTGCCTTAAAGAGCACAACAATACGTTAGTTTGGGCGACTACCACGGGGTTATTATCATTGACTAAGGATAGGCATTTACAGTGCAAAGGTGGAAACAGGATGACACTACAATTCACAACAATGAAATTATCTAATATAACGAAACGAAACTGCACTGTGATATTTGACATCTCAATAAACACAAAGAAAAGACAATGCAAGCAGCTACAAGTGAACTTATACACTGACGAGATGCAAACATTGAAAAATGCTGCCTCCACATATAGTTCAAGCTCCATCACAGCTTACAGAAAAACAAACACTTGCATAGATACATATACTATTGAAAAGCACACGAACACGGCATAAAGTAAAAACAGAAATAAGAAAACGTTCAATTGTGCTAGGAAGCACACAATATACAAAATGTACACCAGATTTAGATTTTGCCACCGAAGTGGCTAGTTTATTGTGCACCCCATATCCATCCTGTGGACTGTAGCGCGAGAGCATATGGATACACAAAAGGCCTAGGAACTAGGCCCCAAAGGGTTAACAGGAATACATATTGATTTATATCTACATATCTATAGTTCACTTATCTGTTACAAGCAAATTTAGGAAATTTGCTTAGTATATCTGGTATCTTATTTTCATTAATAAGATATCTTGACATGTCACATAGGTTATTATACTGTCTGTCTCTGTATTCCTCAATAAGTGGACAATTAAGCACATAATGTTCAAGAGAGTGACCATATGCCTGATCACATAATTTACATTTAGTTTGATCATCTGTGTGTCTCCCAAACTGCCAGAAGTACTTGTAACCAAGCCTAAGCCTGGCCTTTACAACATCAGTCAGTCTGTTCACATTGCAAGTTGCTCCATAAACATACTTATCTACTTTCATGTTATCATAGTGGGTTATAGATCTACTCAGGCTTCTAACTGCATTCCTATAACAATCATTTTCATTATTTACTTCTCTCCTAATATTATTCCTAATGCTAGACATAGTTATACCAAAGTTATATTCTACATTCTCCTTCTCGATACTCTTCTTGGCTAACATATCAACTTTATCATGAAGGAGTAATCCAATGTGTGATGGGATCCATAGCAATTGTACATTAATTCCTTTGTCCCTAATTTTTGAGTATCTATACCTGGCTTCCCCAATGAGCATGTTGTTGGAGTCATTATATGAGCCAAGAGCCTTCAATGATGACATAGAATCAGTAATGATGATAGAGTCAAGCTCAGTGTCATAGGTTAGCTTTAGCGCCATTAGGATTGCAAACAATTCAGTTTGCAGTGTAGACGCCCAGTTGTTAATTCTTATGCCTAACTCAACAAATTTATTATCGTTCTTAACTAGGGAGGTGGCAACAAGAGCCGATGCAGCCCTGCCAGAAGACTCCTGTTTAGATCCATCAGTGTATATAACTTGTGATAACTTGTTACTACCAGCTAGGTGAGAAATTTCTTCTTGAGCAGTTGCTCTAACAAGATATTTAAGGAAGGGATTACTAGCAATGAGCTTCTTGGGAGGAACTTGTAGGTATGTGATATTAAATGAACACATCTTCCATGGAGGGGTGAAATGCTCTTGTTGCCTACAGTGATACAGTTCATGCAGGTTATAAAACTTAATGCAATTGCACGTTTTCACAATCCATTTAGATCTGTGTGTATTTACCTCTAGACACTTGGTAAGATTCACTGTGACAGTGTCTGGTTCGTTTCTCAACATTCTAATACCGAGTACAGTGTTAATTTCAACAATCCTATCACTGATACTAGAAATACCAAGCTCCTTCCTCATGTTAAGAACTTTTGTAGATCTAAGTGTACACTAATGACTTGTATTGAGGCATAAATTACGAGAAGCATTCCTAAAAGCTGTATATACAAAGCCTTAAGATATATCGTCATCACCGTTACATAGGAGACGTGCATAAACACGATCACAAAACATTCATGCACTTGACAAACACAATTAGACACAGCTGACCAGCCCGTTAGATTACCCACTGAACACTCACAACTATCTCAAATCTCGTAACTCCAAGGCTTTATATTCAGGCGGGAAGTCTCTCTCCCATCTCCCCTCATATACCAACCTATTTCGACATTTTGTCCTATAAATCGTCCCCACTAAAACCCTAATTCTACTGTTACCATCAATGTGCCTCATATCCCATGACACGAAAATATAATCGGCCATAACGTACGACACCGTATGTTGTACACGCAAGTCAACCCCACCTACATCAAAACTCAACGCCCAGAGTACCGACAAACCTCCGCCCCCCACCAAACGCAAAACCCTACTGAACCACTCTTGTACCATACCTAAAGTCTCACAGAAATACACAACGTGAAAAGCAGATTCCTCCATCCCGCACGCCGGACAACCCCATGCCTATTATACAACACCACCCCGGACGGCAAGATTCCATGTAAAAATTTAAAAACCACTTCCCGTTCTTGAGCAGGCAGACACAACTGTTGAACTCGCCTCCATATATCACCCCACGCATACATGGGATACATTCCTTCAACTCTCACCACGACTACCTCCATACCCGCCCTTTCTATGGTACATAATTTTACACAGTGCACGTCCCTCATGTGCAATAATGCGTGAAGCATCGTGTTGCACCTAATTAAATTCCTCCCTCCCCACCACCTGTGCAGGTCATGATACAATTCACTTAACCCACCATGCATCCCACCCAGTCGGAGAAAACGATGCTTCGCGTAACATGCCATGACACGAGCCTCTAGAGGAATGAGACCCAACCCTCCCTGATGCATTGGTGTCTCCACCACCGCTCTTGTGAGCCAATTGCAACCAGAACCTCACAAAAATCGATAAACTCTATGCAAAAGACGTTTGATGTCCCCCTGCAACAGAGGATACAGTGCAGCAACATGCCATACTTTGCTATAAAGCAGGACATTAATGACCACCGCCCTCTGATGCAGGGTTAAATGTCGCGGCCATAGACTATTTAAGCACCCCAAGACACTATACAACCCTCCCCGAATTACACACCCTCATCTGATCGACCTCCCGCATATAATGAATACCACATATAGTGATACGATCAACCACAGTCCACCCCTCTGCATCCACCCCATCCCCCACCCACTCCCCCAACTCCATAATCTTCGATTTTTCTCTATTAACACACATCCCCGTAGCCTTGCCAAATATGTCAACAAGTCTCCCAAAAAAAACCCAATTGCTCCCGTGAACGTAATAACACAGTAGTATCATCTACATAACCCACAAGGGTCGGTCAGCCACTACTCGGACCCTACGATGTCTCTACTCCCCGTCCACAAACAGCCCAGTGAAAAGGGTCCTGCATACATGCAAAAAGCATTTGAGACATGGGGCATCCCTGACGAATGCCCCTGCTTAAGTGTACAAAAACACCTAACTTTCCATTAACTTGTACTTTAAATCCTGCTCCATTGTACAACGAACGGGCCCACATGATGACCTCATTTTCAAAACCCTGCCATCTCATAAATTTCCACAGAACCTCCCTTTCCACACTATCAAAAGTGACTCGCCAGTCTAAAGCCAAAACACCACCCCCACCCCTCACCCCGCATTCCTCAACAAACTCCCTGATATTCCCATGACCATCATACATTGACCTACCTGGCACACCAAACTGACTCTTACGGATTACCTTATCAAATACTTTCTTAATTCTATTTATCAAAATTTTTGCATATAGTTTATAGTCACTACACATCAACGATATGGGACAGTAGTCCTTAATCGCTAACGACACATCACATTTCCTAGGACCAACACTGCCGTATGCTGAGACAGACCTAACACCCCCCCCTCCTTCATCGCATTGAGTAAACGAACCATAAAAGTCCGTATTACCTCCCAATGTTTGATATAAAATTCACAAGGGATGCCATCAATGCCTGGAGCCTTTCCCTTACTCATTCCTTGTAGTGCCTCCCACACCTCTGCCTCGGATATAGGCCCACCCATGAGAAGGCGATCATAATCATTTAACTCGTATCGTACTCCTCTCCCCAATTCCTGTATCACATGCTCACTCATGTCTTTACTTTGCATCTGGAGCTTACTCCAAGTATCGACATAAAAACTTATCCCCTCAGTTGTTGTTAAGACCTGTCCCTCACTATACCCGTCAACTTCATCCTGCACCACTAAACTCACAATTTCAGTAGCTTTTTGCCTTTGTGTCTGACTTCGTAAGACACAAGCAGACGGCTTGTCACCCCACAAAGCCCCCTCCACCCCACACAAAATGCGCGCCCCATCAAAAACCTTATTTTTCAATACCTGGATTTGTTCTTTAAGAGCGTCGATCTCATCCACTGGGTAAACCCCAGATGCCTCTCCCTGCGTATAACATTGTTGTAGATGACCCTCCAGGTACCTCAGAAAACCATACTCCAAGCGAGTGGCCTCCTTACCCCGATGCACATAAAAATTCTTAATTCGAGGCTTCACAACCTCATCCCACCGTCGTACTAAATCCCGCCCCTCCCAGGAGTCTACTCCCATAGACGCCCATAAATCTGCGAATAGTTCCCTATCATCTGCACTTTGTAGCATCCGCATATTCAATTTCCAGTAACCCTTAAAACGATTCGGGAGAACCCCCCAGTCGAGCTCTACAAAAACTTCTGGTGGTCAGAGAAAAAGACATTCAACACATGCACATTGATTACGACCACCCGCCGAGACACATACACCCTATCTAAACATGCCGCATAGCCCCTATGCACAAAAGTATGCTCAATCCCCAAGTCACATCCTCAGCGTACATCTACCAACCCCAGCCCAGACAACAAGTCACCCAAAATAAGCGAACAGAAACCTGCTCCCCTCAGTTCAATGTCTTTACGGCGCACCACACAGTTCCAATCACCAACGACCACTGTAATTTCCGGCAGGGACCTCAAATAATATACTAAGACATCTCTAACAAAAGTATTTTTAATATTAACATCATGTTCAGCAGGCCCATGTACCCCTACAAAACGAACGCTTCTACTACCCCAATCCCCCACGACTCGCACCACACGACCCTCCTCCCCTTCCTCCCAATGTCTCATCACAAGCGGGCTGGTCGCTTTTATCAGCCACTCCACATTTCAGACGTCTGGAGTGAGTCACATAAATGTCATAACCTTCCATCTCAAACAAACTTCCTACCTTATGGTTATGTTCTTGCAAAAAACACACATCCACTGCAAAACGATTCAACCACTCACGCACCTGCACACACTTTCTGGCAGATTTCAAACCATTAACATTAATAGTTACACACCTAACTGTGTTAAAGGTGGCTTTCCTCTAGGGGCTACCACTCCCTTTTTCTCTTTGCATTGGCAAGCACCCAAGGCACTTCCCGCACCTTTGGCAATCCCCGTGATATTACCTGCTGTCCTGGACTAGCGTGACCTCCCCCCACCCGTGATTTCCGACCATGTCTTCTTCCCTGAACATTGTCCAGGGGATATTCCTAGTGGATATTCCTTATTTTCCAATGCTGTGTAAAGCAGATCTAGCATTTTTATGATTGCATCATTAGTGCTTTTATTTTTCCTGAATCCAAACTGGCAGGAGTTGAGTATGTTTTGAGCCGTTATAAATGAATACAGTCTCCTGTGCACGAGTTTCTCAAAGATTTTGGATAGCAATGGTAAGTTAGATATTGGCCTATAGTTGTTTAAGTCTGTAGGGTCACCACCTTTATGTATTGGTGTAACCCTTGCCATCTTGAGTAGTTTCGGGAAGGTGCTAGTCTCTATTGACTTGTTAAAAAGTAATGAAATAGCATGCGAAAGGACATGGACCGCTCGCTTGTACAGTAATGGTGGGACATGAGACAGATTCCCCGAGTTATTTTTAAGTGACTTTATGATCTCAATGACTTCCGTGGGCTCAGTTGGTGCAAGATATATATATATATATATATAGCATTCTTCAGGTCACCATGCATTACTCACACCTCACTCTCTGCCTATATATAATGTCTTTCTACCTCTGTATGTTTGAAGTGATCAAGGTCCCAGGACCGAAACGGTTTTTAATATGTCATAGTGTTTGCTTACATGTCTTTCTAAACCAACTTGTCGGTATTTATTACCAAGGTTTTTACCATGTGTATATATATAAATTTGTTGCATGTTATACCCATGGACACCATTACTTATTTGAGAAATAAATATTCAGGCTACCATATTTCACATAATATTATATTGAGAACTTCATTAATAGCTAAAATAAAGCTGTTTAACTATATGTTATTATCTGATACCACATGAATAAGAAAATCATTCTCAATTATTATTGCTAATATTAGTACTAATGTATATATTGTTAGGTTAATAGTGAAATTTATGTTTATCCATAATTGGGCAAATGTTCTGAAGCACTAGTTAAATAGCCAGACACTGGTTCTGCTGCTTAGGTCACCTGACAAACCTTATGTAGTGTTACCCACCACAGGTGCAGAGGTATTAGGTTCAGGCGCTGAGCCATGAATACACCTCCCTTGTGCCCTAGTTTACAAAGAGTCTCCTTAGTGCTTTAAAAGTATGTGAACTTGTGCTTTTCAATTCAAGTTTATTCTCTATAATGGTTACAATGTGGGGTTTTCAGGTTTTTGGTATTTTGTGGTTTA